TACTTTAAAATATCAAGGTAATTAAATAACTTTGTTGGAAATAAATTATTGGACCAAATTACTTATACTGCTTTAGGATTCTGGTCAGTATGTGGCACTTAAAATATATGTAGTTAATGGTGTCTCTTTTGAAAAATCTGTACTACATTAACCTGAAGAGGAGTGTGATTATTTTTTTCTCCATTGGATATAAATCTCTAGCTGACATTAACAATGGATATCAGTTGACTGTTTAAGTGACACATTACTGTAATGAAAACCTGAGTACTTACAAAACTGAAAGAAATTACAAGTTTGTATAAAACTGTTACTTTTGTCAATCTCAAAAAAATATTACACAATTTAATTAGCTTCTGTTTTTGCTTAACAAGATTTTTACGTGCTCCACGATAGTGCATGGTGATCTTATCTTTTATCTCCATAATGGAAGCAAGAGGTTTTTTTTTTTTTTAAATCCTTGTTCTGAATCATTCCTTCAGAAATTGAAGTTATTTCATGAATATTTAAGCCAATCACAATGAATATTTAGATTCGTTTTCCATTATTTTAACAACTCTCAGAATGAAATGCTTTGCATTTTCTTTGTTTCTTTGTTTTAAAGGAAAATTTCTCTATTGCTGTGAGATGTACTTGAATTCTAAGAAAAACTTATTTAAGTTATAGTTGTCCAAATAGTCATTCACTCCTACCTCTCTTTAAATCTATGGATGATCTAGATCTTTTCCATTGTTTCATAAATATGCAACTTTCGTTATTTGAATTCTGCTAGCCCTTAGAATAATATTTCAGAAATATAAAAAAAAGTATAGTGCAATATAAGAAATATTTTAATTCCCCCTGAATTCATCTTTTAGCTTTTAGCCAGCCCATATTTGATGCATTTCTAAGGACTTCATGTTGGTATTATAATTATGAACAGTACCTCAAAGAACCTAAATACAGAATTTTAGTGCTTATCTTTTTGAGGAAAACTTTTGCTAGAACCTTTAATGGTATACCAATAAAAACTATTAAGAAGGACAAATATAGATATATTTGGTGTTACTCTGTGTCTTGAAGACTGTATTTTTATATAGCCAATGCAGTGCTTATTGTAAAAAGCCTGTAATCTACCAAACTGGTAGTGTATTCCAATGTAGCATATTCACATGGTTTTTAGCAAAATGTTGTAGGGGGAGTGGGTAAGCATTGTCTTAGTGTTTAACTTGTACCCCCTTCTTCATTAATTCTAGGAGAACATGTAATATAGTAGGTAACATACTGGCATGAATGCTTACATTCAGGGAATTACATTTAAGAATATTTTAATTTTGACTTTTTGTTTTATTTTGGTCCTTAAATGCAAAATAGAAATCACAGAACTGTAGTTTAAAACGGAAAATACAATATTCAGATTCAGCTGCATTTTCTCTTCCTAATGCTGCACACAGACATACTGGTGCATAATGAGAACAAAGGATTGGAAGCACTTGCTTGGAAAGTTTTTTTTTTTTTTTTTTTTTCCTAGTTGTAACCATATTTCTATATATTGTTTTCAGACTGTTTAGATGAAAAACAATCTGAAGAGTTTATCAATAGAAAATATTTAGAAGTCACTCTTAAGAAAATCTAATGGTCAGCTACATTCTCTATATTTTGTAACCAATCCCTTTGAAAGGCAGTTCTACATTTTATATCTTCTAAATCTGTTGAGAACTTAACTATGTTCTAGGAAGAAACCAGTTTATTACCTTTTCTAATTTTATCCTTTCTCTCAAGGTAACTTTATGTAGTTATCCTAAATATTATGTAGTTACCATAAAATGAGAGAAATTCCACTTACATTTAAGAATGATTGTTGCATGGTTTAGTACATCCATTTATTCACTCCACAACCATTTGTAAGATCAACTACTCATTGAGAAAGCACAGCTAGTAATTTCTGTGGTTATTAATTTAGCTTCCCTGAACTAAAAATTTCACATCAGTAGCAAAAATAGAGAACAAATTTCATTCCTTTTAGCAAGTGACCTCATATTATAACTTAATTGACTCTTTAAAAAATGTGTCTTTAGGAAATCCCCAATATTCTACCTTGGAAAGATAGTGGGTTGCTTAAAATCCTGGCTCTTCCAATTATGTTCAAAGGAAGTATTGACTTCTTTGGAGCACCCCAAAGGTCTTGGTAAGGAGATGCATGTGTAAAGAATGGTTTCTCCAGCCCATATCCTTGTTTTTTGAAGAAATGGAGGAGTGTAGTCTGAATATGTATGTGTATGATGCAAAAATAATCAATGGAATATGCACTCTGTCATTCAGCCTGTACAGTAGTTGGATTCCTTTCACCATCTTATTTTGCCTTTGTTTTCTGTTCTAGCTGGCTTATTTTGATTAATTGTATAAGTGAACTGTCAGGAAAATTGTACTTCTTTCTTTACTTTCATCCAGAAAAATCTAGTAATGTGTATAGCGTATCTGCAGGTAGTGTGCACATTTTTCTGCTTGTGCATATGGCAACATACCACATTGCTTACAAATGTGCAAGGTGGTTCTTTGAAAACCTGGGTCCACATCCAACTTTTCCAATTGCCCTCCAGAAAGTTTGCATTATTTAGTTATGTTAGAGAGAAGTTAAGTACATGGAGGGCAGGTGGACCACATTTTCTGTATAGATTGCTAAGAGCATAGTAATGGCTCAAAGCCTTACCTACTCCTCTTTTTATAGAACAGGACTTGGTAATGACCAAGCAGTTCTTAATAGCAGCTTTTAGCTCATAGCATGGACAATCCCACATTAAGGGGAGCTGTTTCATTGCATGTATGTTTAACATGTTCAGCAGATTCTCAGTTTTCCAAAGATGAATTGTGTATATTAAGCAAGGATTTAATTTACTGTAAGGGCATTAATGCATGATATTATAGTGAGTTACTCGAGGGGGAGGGGGATTGTTTTCCAAATGAATGCTCTCCTAGATTCTTTTACAGCCAGGTAGAGAAGCTAGAGATTTAGATAGGTATCTTTCTGGCCTTAACTGTACTAAATCCTTTGTCTCTGTGGCCTGCAGTGATTTTTTTTTTT